TCCTGAACAGAACATCAATAGCACAGGCACTAAGATTAGCAATTATTAAATGGGAGCTCATGAAACTGAATAGCTTTTGTAAGACAAAGGACACTGTCAATAGTACAAATGGCAGCCTACAGATGGGCAAAATATCTTCATCAACCCCACTTATGACAGTGGGCTAATTTCCAAAATATATAAAGAATTCAAGAAACTAGATATCAACAAACCAAAAAAAATCCAATTTAAAAAATGGGGTACAAGATATAAACAGAGAATTCTCAGAAGAATCTCAAATGGTCGAGAAACAAGGAGATGTTTAATACCTTAGCCACCACAAAAATGCAAATCAAAATGACTCTGAGATTCCATCTTACACCTGCAAAATGGCTAAGATCAAAAACACAAGTGACAGCTTATGCTGGAGAAGATGTGGAGAAAGGGGAACACTCCTCCATTGCTGTGGGAGTACAAACTTGTACAGTCACTTTGGAAATCAGTGTGGTGGTCTCTCAGAGAACTGGGAATCGTCATACCACAAGAACCAGCTATACTGTGCTCTTGGGCATATACCCAAAGGATGCTCAATCATACCACAAGGACACTTGCTCAGCTATGTTTATAGCAGCTTTATTTATAATAGCCAGAACCTAGAAACAACCTTGTATAAAGAAAATGTGGTACATTTACACAGTAGAGTATTACTCAGATGTTAAAAACCAGGACACTAGGAAATTTGCAGGCAAATGGACGGAACTAGAAAAAAGAAATCATCCTCAGTGAGGTAACCCAGACTGAGAAAGATATGTAATCACTCATAAGTGGATATTAGCTGTAAAATAAATGATAACTATGCTATAATCCACAGACCCAGAGAGGCTAGGGTTCATGGGCTCAGGGGGGCACCCCAATCTTCCTGGCAAGGAAGAATAGAAGATATTTCCTGAGCAGACTGAGGGCAGGTGGGGAGCATGAGCAGTCAAGTTGTGGGGATGCTGGAGGGGGAGAGTACTGAAAGAGACTAATGGAAAGGGAGGCATTTTAGGGTAAGGTAAAAAAACCTGGCACAAGGGACTTTCTTAGGAATCTACAAGGAAGACTCTAGCATAGATTCCTAGAAATAGCAATACATAGCCTGACTTGGTCATCTCCTGTGACCAGATTGGTGCCTAGCCCAGTTGAACAGATGCAGACCCACAGCCAGGCATTAGACAGAGTTCAGGGAATCCTGCAGAAAAAGGGGAGGAAGGATTGCAGGAGCGAGAGGGGCCAAGGACACCATAAGAAAACTCACAGAATCAACTAACCTGGGCTCATAGGGACTCACAGACACTGAACCAACAAATCAGGGAGCCTGCATGGGACTGACCTAGGTCCTCTGCAAATATGTGAGAGTTGTATAGGTTGGTCTTCTTGTGGGACTCTCAACAGTGGGAACAGGGGCTGTCTCCCAAACTTTTATAGGCTTTTGGGAACCTACTCTTCATACTGGGTTGCCTTGCCCAGCTTTAATACAAGAGAAGTTCTTAGTCTTACTACAACTTGATTTGCCATGTTTTGTTATTACCCATGGGAGACCTGTCCTTTCCTAAACAGCAATTGAGGAGTGGATTGTGGGTGGATAGGAACAGAGGGGTTTGGTGGTAGGGACTTGGAGGGAAGGAGGGAGTGAAAACGGAATCTGGGATGTAAAATAAAAACAAACAAACAAATAAATAAATTTAAAGAAAAAGAGTTGCCATGGTCATGGTGTCTCTTCACAGCAACAGAAACCCTAAATAAGACAATAGTCCTATCCAGATATGACAGGGAAGATATCCATGCAGGTTCAATAGTGGCACTTATATCTTTAGGGTAATCAACAACTGTCTAATTGGACATAAAGCTCACTTATTAAGAGGGAATTCGTGTGTGAACCTAGCCAACTACAAATGACTGTGAGGGCACAGAACCTAGAGAATTTAATACTGCCATTTTCCAATTTAGTGTAATTTTAACTGCATTCTAAGTACTTATCCTTTTATCCCACAGGTAACTGTAGTGCCCCACTTAAAGAACTTCTTTTTTTATTAAATAGAGACCACTGTAGAAAGCTATGACTTTTCAAAATGAAGAGAACAACTGACTGGGGGTACCCAAGCCCCAGTAGGCATCATTTCTCCCCTTCCTCCCTCCAACTCTTCCCATGTCACCCTCTACCCTTTCTCTCAACTTTATGGCCCCATTTTCTTTAATTATTGCTACATGTGTATGTGTATAAATATATAAATACAACTTCCAGAGTCCATTTAATGTTGATCAAATGTATATATTTTTAGGGTTGACCACTTCATATTAGATAGCCAACTAGCGAACTCATCCCTGGGGAAGACTGATACTTTTTTCATTTTAGTCGTTACTTATATGTAGTTTTTATTTAGGGTTGGGGTCTTGTGAGATTTCCATCCATGTTTGCATGTCAACCATGTTTTATCATTATACAGGTCTTCTTTAGGTGACCACATTATTTTCATGGGTGCAGCTTTCCTGACATATATAGAAGACACCATCTTGAAGCAGATGTTCTAGTTTCTGGATCTTTCGATTTTTCTACTTCATCTCTTCTGTGATGTTCCCTGAGCCTTGGGCATAATAAGATCCCTAAAGCTTGCTAGCTAACCAGCCTAGCCCACTCAGTGAGAGGCCTTGTCAAAAAAAAAAAAAAAAAAAATAAGGTAGAGAGGGACTAAAGAAAACACCTAACAGCAACCTCTGGTCTCCATATGAATAATGTGCACATCCATTTGCATATGCACAAGCACACACGCACACACACACACACACACACACACACACACACACACACGAACACAACCATATTTAGGCATGGTGGCTCATTCATTTAATCTGAGCACTCAAGAAATTAAGGCAGCAGGGTTGCATGAGTTTGAGGCCAACTTGGGTGACAAGAATCAGATCTGTTTCAAAAATCAAAACAGAGACCAGGGACAAAGCTCAACGAGTCAATCCTGGTGACCTGAGTTCAATCCCTAGAATGCAAGCTGGATGTGCCAGTGAGCATTTGTAATCATAGCATACCTACAGGAAATAGGACCCAGAGGTAGGAGTTATCTGGAAACTAGCTAGCACCCTCAAAACAAGTTTTGCCTCAAGAAACAATCCTTATTATGCCCAAGGCTCAGGGAACATCACAGAACTACACCAGCTTCTTATGTGAACTCAGGGAACTCAGGTCCTCATGCTTGAGTAGCAAACTTTTTATTAACTAAACAATCTTCTGATCTCATCAGATCCTTGGTTGTTTGTTCTGTGAGCTGTTTTCCAGTTTTCTGAAGAAAGACCTCACTAACTATGCCCTGCACTGTAACTATTCAGTTGTACATTCCTAACTTCTGGCTTTTATTTCATTCTTCCAAATTATAAATTAATACCAACAACAGTGAGATCCTCAGCACTATTTCCATGTTTCTCTGACAGAACCTGGCATGATATTTTATATTTAATTATTTGGTATGAATAGTCACTATTTTGTTAACCACGCATGCTTTAGCTCCCACTGCTAACAGGTATTTGCTATTTAGAATATTTAGATATTTACATTGTTAACATTTGAAATTACATGGTAATGGTTCAGGATCATAAAAAAAACTAGCAAAATGTTTATTACTAGGTTATGATGTAAACATAACCTCATATCTTCTTGAATGGAATATTTATTCCTTCATGAAGGAATAAAATTGTCTTTCAGTGATTTATGAGTTATAGACTTGAATTATCACCTGTGTATCATTTACTTAAAGAATAAATCATCATTTTGGAGTCTTTACTTGCTTTCACATGAAGAATCAGAACCTTTGAATTATTTATAGATCTATAAAAATTACAATTATTTTGTAGAAAAAATTATAAGGGCTGGGGATATAGCTGAGTAGTAGAATTCTTACCTAGACACAAAGGCCTTGTGTTTAGTGTCTAGCATCGTCAAAAAATGATAATGAACTAATAATTACTGTTATTATGAATACCATAGTGAGTTTGAGGTCAGAGACCATTTTTTTTTTTTTTTTGAGATAGGTTTTTTTTCTTACAGTGAGTCTCCGAGACAGAGCTCAGGTTGTCAGTCCTGTACAACAGATACTTTTCCTGCATTCTGCCCTACTTTCCTAGATGGTTAGTCATTCAAGTTGATCTGGGTCAATCTTCTTTTATATTTTGCTACTGAGGCAACCATACCTTTTAATGCTAAAAATATTACATGCATAGAGATGCTTGCTGCATTTTATTAAGAGACTATGCCTAGAGTTGTTGTTATAGTGGTCATAAAACTTTTGTAATTAAAAAGTCACAGATACTAGTACATTCTAAAATTAGCAGGAAGATTTTTAAGAAGAAAGGATATTTACATATCAATAAATAAGGTAGAGGGTTATAGAAGAAGATGTCCAGTGTTCACCTTTGGCTGCTCTATGTATGTGGATAAGGATTCACAACCACATATGAAACACAGATGCACAAGTTGAGGTACTTTTAACAACGGGTTATCAAAACCCAAACATAAAGTCAGCGTTTCATCCTTTTATCTGTCCTCAAGTGGATTTAAGGAACACAAGAGTGTATGTCAATAACCACAAAGGATGCCTGAGAAACAAGCAAGCAAGCTGTCAGGTGGTCTGAAATAGATGGACTAGAACAGATAGAAATTGACCAGAGGTGTAATCAAAGGGAGAGCTTCTCCATGGCATGGCTGACAGGTGACAAGGCACAGTGTGCTAAACAGGGAGTGGAAAAAATGGTTTAGAGCTTAAAATGGTAGAAACATCAAGGCACCTGAAATATTCTGACTCTACCATTCTCCATTTGAGGGTTATCAGAACCTAGAGGTCCCTCTATATCAGGCCAAGTCTGTTACACTCTCCTCATTTGCCAATCAGAAATCTTACGAGAACCAGCTTTCCTGGCTAGAGGAACCTGAGATCTCAGCAGAGTCCCCTGGGGAATTGCTGTGCTTGCTGTCATACCTGTGCTCTCCTCAGCCTGATTGAAGCCACAGATCTGGCAGATGCTCTGGACCCACTTATTCATGTCGGCCTCTGTCTCAGCCACCAGGTAAAAAGTACGCTCACTGGTCTTGATATCAAACACAAAACTATCTTGAAGCTCTTTCTTGTTGAAGGTCAGGCCTGCATCCACTTGCTCACAGAAGTTCAGGTTGATGATCCGTAGGGGTTTCTTGGAGTGCTCATTCTTGTAATATTCCAGAACATCTGGGTCACCACTCATCCGGCCACTCCGTAGGATGAACCAGCGTTTCTTCCAGGCCTAAATCACCAGAGGTGCAGAAAGAAGAAGGAGAAAATGCCATTAGTTATTTTAAAGCTTTTAGCATGTCCTCACATATCTATTTAGGATGGCTAGGGCCTGGAGAGAAAGACTCCAAGATCATCTTATGAGGGACCCACCAGATTGCTCAGTGGATAAAGGTACCTGCCACCACACTAAATGGTTTGAGCTCAGTCCCTGAAATCTACAAGGTATGAACATTATCACCTGACCTCCATATGTGCATCATGACATTTGTGTTCCCCCAAACAAATATGTAATTAAATAATTAAGATTACCATATAAAAGAAGCCAACTGGCAGAAGAAGACTGGGAACCTTTGGCAATGGGCTACATATAACAAAACAAGAGCCTTCCCCAACAAGGAAAACAAAAATATGAAAAACAACCCCCTCCAACTCAAGCTCTCTGAATGAGGAAGACGGAGAGTGTTATATGTTACCTATAAAGAATCCAGACTGTCAAGGCCAGAAAGCCTGGGACCTGTGCCAGCTCTCTAGCCCACTTCATTCTTGGTGTGACTTTCTTTTCTCAAATAAACTGTCTCTATTTCTATCACTACCCTTGTGTCCCTAGTCCCTAGTCTTGTGTCAGGAACACAAGAGCCTGAAATCTCAGCAGGTGCCCCCTGTACAAATGTCTATTAACCTAGGGACTGCTGGGCCCTTCTGATACTCACAGCCTACATTTCCCTTTCAGATTTTTCTCAGCTCAAAAATGGAAGATGGTTTCAGAACATGTTAGTACAGGAGTACAAGAGTAGTGCAACTCTTCCTTTAGACTAGACACATACTCATAAAACATTCGGTTAGGGAGCACTTGCAAAGCCATAAAAACCTCAGCTTACAGGTTGAGGCATTGTGAGTTAAAGCAACAATGTCATACCAAGAGTAGCAGAAAATTAATTTCCTAACTTCCTATGGTATGTCTCTTACCAGTCATGATGTCAGTGAAGAACCACTGCTAGGGAATCTTGGTAGAAATGCTCTGAGCATCTACCTTTAGGGTCCCCTTTTTTATCTTAAGTCCTGACATAGTTTCCCTAAGACCTGTGGAAGTTCCTTGCTCATGCCAAGCATTCCATCTATATTACTGAATAAATGTCTTATATTATTCCTTATTATAAAATTTAAAACTTGACTACATGTGCTCTTAATCTATCTTCTACATTGTATCTCTTCAACAAGACTGAGTAAACTCTAAGCAGAACTGATACACAGGATAAAAACAATCCCCCACAAACAACCAAAACTAAATAGTTTCAGAGCTTTGGGTTGAGTCTGAGCTCTGCTACAGACTTATTGCATGATTTTTCAACTAAGTTACTTCTTTGGATCTTTCCTTATTTATGGAATGAGAATCATAGCCACCACTATCATCACCTACCCTATTTATGAGAGACTTTTTTTAATGCAAATAAGCTCAGAATACTACAAATGTCAATGATTTTATCATCATCATCATCATCATCATCATCATCATCATCATCACTACCACCACCACCACCACAATCCTTCCAATCTCCAGGGAGGTATATTAATTTTACCAATACTTCACACTCACCTTGTCCTCAGTTTCCTCAGTAACCAACTCTCTTGACTAGTCCTTACAATTTCCTTGCTTCTTTTCCCATTTTTTCTTGTTTACTTGGCAAAACCACAACCTTCTTCTAAGTCTAATGTTCTGCCTACTTAACCTGTTCTCACGTGGCTTTCTCCAGCCTTTACATGGGCCACTTACAATGCCTGACAATCCTATTGACCTAGTCCAGGACTTCTTGTACTCTTTGGTAACAATCTCTTATCTTTCTTTAAATCTCCAAAACTTCTACTCTTTTCTTCTTTCATGAGAAAATATAATCAAAAGCGGTCCGATGCTACATTTACTAGTGCACCTGCATCCACAGCCACATTCTCTGGAGAGTACAGGAAGCCCTTCTAATAATTAAAGCAGCCTTCCTCCCTAGTTACACACCCTTTCACCCAGCTGGAATATCACTTCAACAACTGCACCCTCTCCAGAGTAGTCGCTTCATCCTTCCCTGTTAGAATCATTTCCATCATCTCAGAAAAAAGAAGTTTCTTGTTTTCGCATTCATCTCTGACTGTGACTCAGTTTTTCAATTCCTCTTCAGTTAAGCTTCAAACAGTTTCTATAGTACTATGCTTATTTGTTTCATCTCCTATATGAAGGCACTTCCATTAGTCTGCTCTTCACTGTACCTCTGGAATAACGTATCAAAGGCCTTGAAGACTACAGTGCTGTTAACTAGTTCTTGAAACTTACTATGATCTCTCAGGAACATTTAACACTGGCCTATTAGTGACACACCTTCATTGTGTCACCTTCATTGAAATACTTTCTTTGATGGACTTCAGCATCCACTGTCAATTTCCCATACGGTATTGCTTTTCCAGGTGCTAGTGCTGGTTTTTTTTTCTTCCCATTCTCTCAGTTCTATAGAGTATTCCAACGCTCAGTTCTCTGATGGACTATCTCTACACCCACCATTGGTTTAAAGCCATCTACTTGCTGCAGTTTCCAAATGTCAGACCCTGGTCTAGCCCTATCTGAGGAACCTGATGCCTAGACCCAATTCTCCATTATTAAAAATTTCAAAACTAGTATGTTAAAAGTGGAACTTTCAGCCAGGCACAGTGTCTCACACTTGCCATCTCATCATTTGACGAAGAGGATTGTTGCCAGTTTGATGTCAGGTAGGGATACATAGTAAGTACGAGGCCAGCCTAGTATACAGATAAGACTCTGTCTCAACTCCTATTAACCTCCAAAATTTGACCTTCTAATATCCCTCAGACTCATTTCTTACTATAATCTTTCCCATCTTAATTATGGCTATCACATCCTTCCTGTGTCAAAGTCAAGTAATTCTCATATTAAACATTCAGTCTATCAACAAATTCTGTCAGTGAAAGAGTTCAGAATATCTGTTCCTTATCTCCCCTGTTGTTCTCTAATTTCATTGTGTGATTATGTGTCTGTATGTTTGAAATGTGTGCATGCTACAGTGTGTGTGTGTGTGTGTGTGTGTGTGTGTGTGTGTGTGTGTAGATCAGAGAACAACTTGCTGGGGTCAATTTTCCTCTTCTACTTCATGCTTATTGAGAATTGACCTTAGGTCACCAGGCTTGGCAGCAAATGCACTGTCTCACCAACCCATAATTGCATTGATTTTAATACCCTTTATAATTTCATTCAACAATCTATTCACAAAAGTTAGGTCAGAAAGCAGGATAGGATGTAAATCAAGATAGACTGTAAATCAGAGTAACTGGTCATTTTATGCATGAAAACTGTCTATCCGTTATCCACTCAGAGTAAAAGCAATTTGCTTCTGATGGGCCCCTTAGCCTAGGTTACAATTTAGGTCTTAGATAATTTCAAAGCTTTGGTCTCAGCTTGTAATGCTATTTGGGAGATTGTAGAATCTTTAAGAAATAAGGCCTTAGGTCATTGATGATGTGACATTGAATGGACTATACGGACTGTCTTCTCTGTTTGCTCCCTGGCCAGAGAGATAAGCCGCTTGCTCTAAAACATGCTCCCTGTCATAAGGTGCTTCCCTACTCTAGCCTAAAACAACAGGGCTGATGACTGAACCCTCTAAAACTGTGATCCAAAACAAGCCTCTTTTTCCTCTCTTGTTTTTTCCCTCTTCATGGTGCTGAGGGTTGTACCCAGGGCTAATGTTCTGTCTTTTCTCTCTATAAGCTGATGATCTCACAGATTTATGAAAACTTAACTAACACAGCCTGGCATGCCTGAACATCATGTCCCATCTCATTATCTCACATCAGTGTAGTCCATTTTGTTATCACACTGGCCTTAAACACTACCAGGTGCACACCTGCCTCGGGCTCTTAATTTTAATTGTTCTCTCTGGAACACTCCTTCTCCCAGCATTTCTATTTCGTATTCTTTATTTCAATTGCTTATCCAAACATCACATTGTTGAAGAACTGCTCCTCATCTCCCACCCCTCCCCTTGCAAACACTCACATTCCTCTTTCTCCTTGTCTGGTTTCACTGGTGTCATCGGTCTTTTTAGTACTCACACCAATTCTGCTGATTGTTTGCACTCACTTCCTGGAATGTAAATAGCACCAGCACAGGGACCCTTTCATTCTCATATGTTATCTCTGGTGTGGGGTTTTTAATGAGAGATGTCCCCCATAGGATCAGAAATCTTAATACTTGGTCCCTAGTTAGTGGTGTTGTCTGGGAAGTTTAGGAAATGTACCTTTTTTTGCTGGAGGATGTATGTCACTGGGGAGGGTCTCTGAGAGATTATGGCTTGCCCCCACTTCTAGTTTGATCTCTCTGCTTTGTGTTGGAAGATATAAGCATTCAGCTTCCTGCTCCTGCTGCCATGCCTGTCCCTTGCTGCCATGTTTTTCCCCCATGATAGACTTCTATCCCTCTGAAATCATAAGCCTAAACAAACTTTTCTATAATTGCTTTGGTCAAGGTGTTTTATCACAGCAACAGAAAAGTAACCGATATACGCCTTACTCTCATGTAATAGTTACAATATTTAGAATAGTGCTTGGCCCATGTATAGTAATCAAAAAATATGCTCCTTAATTGATTGCTTTCTAGCATGAAGTCTTTATGGCACTTAATTGGTCAAGGGGAATATACATGAGGTCTGACAAGCCTTAGATTAAATTAAAATAGAAAATTGATGTATTACCATATATAATAAAGTTGAAGAAGATAAAATAAAAGGTATTTAATTATAGTCACATCAAATCCTGTCCTGGCCACTGTTTATGAAACTCTATATATTTGTATAGAGGTGTCCAGCAAATACAGTTATATATACATATTATATGCAGAATATTATGTAGAATATATTATATAGTGTATAAATACCATGGTACATTAAAAATGGTTTTAATAGGTCAGCTTCTGTTTGAGGTGAAGTATCCCCTTCAGTGCCTGTGTCTTTGGAATGG